AGTCACACATCATCATCAAATAAAGTTTAAACAATAAAAACAAACTAAGAAAATAAAAGAATAATAAAAAAATAAAAACTCAAGAATTATAAACTTGATCTTCCAAGTCTTCTTGAATCCTTCAAAATCTTCTCAGCTTCAATGACTTTGCGGCTTCACTCTTGACTTTCAATCTAGTGTTTTTCGCTTTCTCTTTTTTCATTAAAATTCTTATTTCATCAAATACTTACAAATGCACAAATAAATCAACAACCTATCTTAACCACATGACCACCAAATTAAGTATAGAATTAACTAACATTAAATTGACTCACCCAAAATAACTAATTTAAAATAATTAAATAAAACTTACTAATTTTTTTGTATTGCCACAAGAACTAAGCTAAATTATTATCAAAATTAAGTTCAAATAACTTTATATTATAGAGTTATCACACTCTCAAACTTAATATTTTGCTAGTCCTTGAGCAAAACATAGAAAAGAACATAACTTATGAAAATCAAATTCAATTAATGAAAACTAAAATAAAAATAGTTACTACTACTACTACTAAAGATAAAGTGCACCACCTCAATGATTCCCTCTAATTTCTTCAAAAGTATGTCTATCAAGTATTAACTTAAGGAAAAATATAAGCATCATTTAAATTCATGTTTCAATTCTAATACAAGCACATTCTCGAATGGATTTTTGTGTATGTGTGTGAAGTCTTTTACCAAGAATATCATGATATCTGGATGAGTTTATGCCAACACAAATTTCAAATTAGTACTAAATTTTATAAGTTTAATTTTCATCTCTTTCTCCACTAATGTAGACTAATACAAAGTTAGGAATCAATAAGACTTTAATAAGCTTGTAATGTATGACTAGGGTGAAGGTATGATAAAAGATATTAATGTAGCTCAAATCACCTTAAGTACATAATTATTCTAGGTCCTATCTATAGAGCTCTATTCTCCTTCTCCAAGTACACCTTTTTCTTCCACATTTGAACTTTTTTTTTTTCACAATTTCATATCCCCAAACTTATTTTCTTTGTATTATTGGTAGTGGGGTTATTTTCATATCTTGAACTTTTTTTTTCACATTGATATCACCTTTCCACCTTGTTTAACATTTAGCTCAATCTATATTTCCTAAACAATATACATGTTTAGGAGTAAGGGTTGCCAAATTGAAAAATTAATTTTAAGACTAAGCTCAATTATTATGTAGTTAAACAAAGAAAAGATAAATTAGGCTCAAAAGGGGTATACTAGGGACAACCACTTAACAAGGTTGGCTTTTTAGGCTCAAACGGTCTAAAGATGGCCTAAACCATCTCCCTAACTAAGCATTGTCTAGGATTTCACCTTGAGAGAAAATCAAGTAAATTCTAAAATTTATGACATAATCTAAAATTCACATCAATATAAACCTTCTCTAAATATTCAGAATAATTTAAAGGAAATGATATAGTGCTCAAAATTGTGAAAATCACATCTTAATAATGATACTTAACAAAATCATTTAGCATGAATCCAAACAAAGACCTTATTTATCGAAAGCTAAGAATTCAAGACAACTAGTTATCATCATTGGATAGAAAAATCATTGAAAAAATATTGGCACAACTTTACTCTAGATTCCTAAATTCAAACAAAAAATAAATTCATTTACCAACTAATCCTAAATTATTTATAAATCTAGATAAATATGCAAACAAAATTAAATCTAAAACTTTTATAAAATATTCACCACTAGAAAAATAAATTCACCCCCCCAAATTTAAACTAAACATTGTCCTCAATGTTAGAAAAAAAAAGGTAAAGAATAGTCCCCTAATGATTGAATGAATCTGGTGAAACTCTAATATTCCTCCTCATCTCCATCATCTTCATTGTCAATTGTAGAAGAATTTTTTTATTGAAAAAATAGAGATTGATGAAAATAAATAAGTAAATAAAATAAAAATAACTAAAAGTTAAGAGTTTCGACAGCTTGGGTTGCCTTCCAAGAAGTGCTTCTTTATAGTCAATAGCTTGACTTTGGTTGAGGTTTGAGTTTGTATGGAAAACGCTTGATATGTGAAAGTAGCCTCCTCTTAAGATGAGGTTTTAGTGCCTTTAACTCAAGATTTGATGCTTGCTTAACCCAAGGTGGTGGAATAGGCTAACTTTTATCCAACTTCTCAAATTGAGTTCTTCTAGAATAATGTGCTTCTACTATAATCTCCTTTGATAACTCATCAACTGTATCTAGAAAATGAATGGGAAACACATATGGCTTGGCTTGTAGTGATGTCTATATTTCCTCTTCTTGCTTAATTTCTTCATCTTGAACTTGATTGCTGAAAATATTTCCTTGATCTACTTTATCTCCATCATCTTGAAGTTTATCATTGATGGAAATAGCTAGTTGACCCACTTGTGTCTTAAGATTTTGGATTCATTCTGCTTGACTTTGAATAATGGCATCAATCTTTGTCATGAAGGCATCTGTCTTTGTCATGAATTGCATGAACATATTCTCTATTTAAGGCCTTTTCTTTAGCATAGGAGCTCTAACTTGTTACCGAAAATAATTATGAAAAATAAGCTGTGATGAATATGTAGGACCATGATCATTACTCCATGAAAAATTTTTGTGATTCTACCCTGAGTTGTAATTGTTGGAGTATGACTTATTTTGCTACCCAACGAAGCTTCCACCAGATTGCATTGATTCATAATAGGCTAGTTAACAATCACTTGAATACCTATCTCCACAAAACTCACATGTCACAAAAGGACTTTGAAAAGCATTAACACCCCTGATGTTAATTTTACGAGACAAAGAATCTACTTGGGTGGCTAAAACACTGATTGCAACCATTGCATAATCACTGTAACCTTCCTAGAAACAAATTGTTTAGATGGCCATTGATAGTTCATCACCTCAATCAAAGTATTTGAAAATAAAAAGAAACGTTTGAAGTAAGATTAGAAATGCTTGGTATTAATATTAACGAGAAAGAATTAAAAATCAACTTTTCGAAAATGACGTCTAAAACTTGTTGTTGATTTTTCACAAGTGCACATATCGTTAACAAGTAATATAGTAATAAAGTAGAGTATGGTTCCCGTAGAGAATTGTTTAATTCCTACTATTAACTACTAAAATTATAATACCCTAATTTTATCCAAATAATTAAAATAAAAAAAATTAAAACTAGTAAATTGAAATTAAATTGTAAATAAAACTCACTTAACCACCAAACCTAAGATTATGATATCCCTCAATATTTCATTTGATTATTCTCTCTCTTTCTTACCTTAGTTTAATGGATTAGATTACTAACTTAGAATCCTAAATTATTTACAAGTCTTTGTCGAGTTTCTTAATATGTCCATGAAAATTAAATTGAAGAAAAATTCATTAAGTTTGTGCTCGAATCCTGATTATGTATGGCTTATAGGTGTACGTCTACCCTATACGCAAATTAAACTACCTAATCAACTAAGTGCATTCGATCATACGCTATTCTATTCAAGGTCTACCTGAATCTCATTCGTCAAGGTTTAACCTAGGTTTCCAATTTAATTTAATTGGTGGCCAGTCAACTAAAAGATTAAGAACAGAATTGTAACGACCACTCCTTGATCGCAATTGGCGTTCGAGTCTCGCGGGAGATCCCGCCAAGTCTCGAACAAGCCTTACTTAAAACGTTAGTTATTATCTTATAATCATACCATCAATCTACGAAATTATTTCGATTCGTAAACTCTATGTGATAAAAATTGAACAATACTTGTATAAACTGAGTAAACCTTTAATTCACATAATTGTACAAATGATACATCAAGACTTAAAATCTCTAAATGTACATTTGAATTGCCACTAGTGTCTGATCCCGTAACAAATTATTCTATGCAGACTCGACCTCTAGTAGCGGAGCAACTTAGAATAAAGTGCCATGAGATGCCTTTACCTATCCGCGGTGGGCTAAAAATGTTGATGAATACACGCTAGGTTGATCACTATCTACAAAAGGAAAATAAAAAGGGTGAGTCTCATAGACTCAGTGATCATCGGCTCCGTGAGCAAGGCTTAGATGGGAAACAAGCATAAGCTAGATAAGTTGAATAATAAAACTAGATAATAAAACTAGAATATCAAATCATAATTGTAAAAACCCAAATCGTAAGTAGGATATTTGTGCCTTGTAAAAATGAAGTCATAAAATCATATTACAACATTTTATTTGGCAAAATGATGTCGAAAACAAATATAACGTAGTCGAGTTCAAGCAATTGAAACATTGCTTGCCATAAAAATATGAATAACAATATCAAGCATGCACGCTCCCAGAATGTGTGGCATATAAAGAAATCAAAGTGTACGGCCACGTACATCATTTCATAGTCATCAAGTAGGCACTAAAAGCTTTTATTCAAATCAGGGGAACTGCAACAAAATCTTAACTTCCCACAATGCAAAAGAGAATGCATCGAAAACTCACGAGGCTCTCGAGTAGGTAAGTATCGTAATCACCCGTGGACCCATTTCCACGTAATAACATTTAGGAGCTCTGCTCCACCGGATCCCCACAGCCATGGCAGTTTCGATAATGTTGCCCAACATCAGAGAATCAAGCAGTTGCAACTATGAATATCGCTTGTGGCCTAGCCACATATAACAACCCGTGGTCTTGCCACGTATATCACAGACTATGGCCCTAGCCACGTCTAACAGCCCGTCGGTGACCTAAAGGTTTTCTAGCTAGAGTTCACTTGTGCACAAGGGTCACACTTAACTAGCCGACCTACTCTTGAGGCTATCGGTTTATCAAAACCATTTTCAAAACCAAATCGGATTTTTTTCAAGGCTTTTCCTTTTAATCATTTGAAATCAAGGTTTAATAACCCCTTTAAAATTACTTGTCAAGTTCAACGGCATGGTGTATCACTTGTACAAAGATCGAAATACAATCGAAGCTCAAAACTTGCATTTTAAATAATTTAACAAATTCACTTAGCTATGCATATCACACAAAAATGCAAGGCACAGATTTTGATGTAAACATCGTGAAAGGCTTGTTTCCTAATTTCTAAACTCTTTACATGTATGGTTTATCTATAGTTATATCCAAAACTCCTTTCAAAACAATTTTGCATCCACAAACTTCCTATAGTTTCTACCAACTCATGCTTTCCACAATAGCAATACATAAATCGTTGTAAATCCATTTTAAAATTGCCTACCAAGGCTAACAGCTCATGATATCCATAATTACACTTAAGAAAACCATCAATGCTTACTAACGTAAATCAATATATATATATAACACGGAGATTTTAAAATCGGCACCCCCTACTCTCCTCACAATAGCGGGACGCTACATCGCCATTGATTCGGGTGCGTATCTAGCTAATTCCACTCGTCGATTACCCGTTACCTCCTCCGGCATGCCACCACAGCACACTTTCTTTACTCATGCACTTCCTATCAACCATATAAACTTAATACACTTAATTTATTCACATGCATGGCAACACATCAATCAATAATTTCGTAACCTAATCTCATAGTTTTCATTAACCTTTACTCACAATCATTTAACATACAATCCATATACTATCAATTAACCAATGCCAACACAACACCATGCAACCACATTGCATGCTTACCTTTCGGTTTTAGCTTGAGTTCCACACGTTTAGTTCAAAATTTCATCACATCCATAATCACCATTGTTGCCACAAACATAGGCAATAAATATACATATCATTTTCGTTGTTTACTTGTAATTTCAAGACTAAAACACTTACCCATTGCTTGTTTAGCTCCAAAATCACCATGCATTCCAAGATCTACCTACATGTATGCTTCGAGTCCCTTGAATCCTTGTAGATTATTGATACCACAAACAAAATCACACATTACAATTGATTTACTAAGCATGTATTTCAAGAAACATGGAAATCTCCTTACCTTACTGGTCTCGGGTTCACCAAATCGATCTTTCCCTTTTTTTTTCTTCTTCATCCTTTCTTCCTTTCTTTCTTTCCCCCTTTCTTTCTCTTTTTGTTATGGGCAGACTCCTCAAGGAAAAAGACTTGAAAATGCCTTTAGTTTCTCCATTTTGTTCTCACATGGGCAGATTGCCCAAGGTAACTTGCTTTTCATGTTGTTTTCTTTCCTTTTTCTCTTTATTTTCTCTATGGACGGATTGCCTAAAGCTTCATGCCTTTTTGGCATGTTTTCTTCTCCTTTTATGTGGTAAAAGTACAAGGCAAAAAGCCTTAGTAACTTTCCATCTGTCACATTCATTTTCTATAT